GGAGCGCGGCCTCGCCGCGGCCTGCGGAGCCGCTGCCCTGAGAAAGCCGCTTTTGGTGGAAGCGCCTAGGCTGGACGGAGGGTTCCGTTAAATCTGCCCTCGACTCCAGAACTTGCCCACGTGAGATCGCGTGAAGAAAGGGGACGTGCACAACATAATTACGTTTCGGAAGCCTCTGCAATCTTGCGCCGCTGGCTTGGGTCTGTTTTAAGGCTAAGGCAGTCACTGCGGCTCTGGGCACTAGTAAGCAGCACGTCCTGGTCCCACAGCTCCGCAGAGCGCCCACGCGAGGGAAGGCCGGGGCCGCGGAGCCCTCCCGGCTCCCGCTCCGCATCCCCGCGTTCCCTGCTCCTGGGCACCCTCAGCAGGCACCGCTGCGCAGCGCCTTGGCCCGCCTGGAAGGATCCCTGCCTCGGTATTCCACAGTGACTCTCAACATTTCCACCTCAGGAACCCCCTGAAGTACTGTCCACATTTAATATTAAAGGCAACAACACAATGTTCAGGTCTTACCCTTAAACTTCCCTGCAGAAACTCTCTTTTCCAATTCCACTAGATTTCTTTAAAATCTACAGACTGCATTCTAATGTTCTACCTCTCCTGAGGTAGAGGCCCATCAGAGTTTAGCCGTATCATTTCAATCCTGAATTGATATTACAGCTGCACACAACGCTGACAGGCCAGCAACAGGCAGCAGCGTGAGCAGAGGTAGCTATTAAGATTAAAATAATTATAATTCTCACAGTCCCCCCAGAATGTAACACTTCACCCATCTCTGACAAATGCCTTCAATCAGTTCATTGTTTCTGGCCAAAACATGACTGTAATATTGCAAGAAGGAAAGTAGCTTCTTTGCTTCTTATGCATTATTTAAAGGGAAAAAAAGTTAACACCACTGCTTGCCACGTTACCTAAGCGAGATCTCTGAACAAAAAGGGGCTTCGTGCAAAAGAGTAACAGTCTAGCCAAAAACAAGATTAAAATAAGCAAATCATTTTGTAATACAGTAGTAGGAACGAGACTCCTGCAATAATTTAAAAATATCTGTGTATTTCCGCCAAAACTCAAGTAGCAGATTTCCAATCTGCCTTGAATAGAAAACAGAACCAGCAGCAGACAAACCAAACCCACCCTGCACTGTGACCTAGAGGAGCAGCTGCAGAGCTCTGCACGATGCCCAGTTTGCAAAACACAATGCAAGGAACTAAGCAGATCTGTGCTTCATGGCTGTTAAATGAACGTTTCTCCAGCGGGCAGGTAGCTCCTTCCACATGCACACGTAGCAGCACCTCCAAGGCAAACAACAGCAAATGAACAGCGGAGGATGGGAGGCAATCTCATTTCTTCCAAAGCTAGTTTTGACTTAAAATTGAGTCTTCTGGGAAGGAGCACAACCGCTAGCACTGTGGGATACCCCCTGCCAACCAGCTTATGGAGCAGAACTGCTACTGACCCTCAGATGAGTTATTCACCCATCCCCTTTCTGACAAGCAGAAAGAGCACATGGCCAGGCTGCCAGAAAAGAAAACAGAACTAACAGAGCGATTCGGGAGGGCAAGGAGGAGAATTCAGAAAGTAAAAATGCTGTGGTAAAAAGAATTACCTCACTGTATTCGTGAGGTAATTACCAAGAGAGGTAAAGGCAATAAACCATTTTTATCCACTCCTGAAATCCCATAAATGAACCAATAACGAGTGCTGCACAACAAATCAAAAAAGTTACCATTTGTACAGAACACACTATTTTCTTTAAAAATGCAAAATGACACGGTGGATGCTCGATAATATTCTAACACTTTTCAGAGGAGGCATAATCAGTGCAGGTAGCAAACAACTGATGTGATCTAGCAGAAGAGAAGGGGAGGAAAAAGCTTTGTCTGTAAATGCAATCAAACATCACCAGGGAACAGGGTTTAAAGGGCACATGTGGGAGCTAAACAGAACCTACCCTCCTAAACAGCTGCAGCTTTCAGATGAAATATTTCAGATAGCAGGATTCACGTTTTAAAATGATCACAAACAATTTCAGTTCCAAGACAGGTCTAAGACACTGATATTCATATAAACTCCCCAAGAAGACAGCAGCCATGCCCTACCATATGGTCTGACACACTTCAGCATATGGGATTGGTTTCAACTGTTTTCCCCAAATTAGCATTAAAATACAAGTGATAGCTTCAATTAGAAATAGAAGCAATCTGAGCTCAAAATATTAAATTAGAAGTAATCCAATATTCTGAGATGAGGTAGACACCGAAAAATACAGACTGCTGGTATAAATATAATTAAGATTGAGAAAGTAAATGAACACATAAATAAATCAATTCCTCCAATGCTATGGCACTGAGCAGTATTTACTATTGGTGCAGATTTAAAAAAAAAAGTGATGTCTGTAGCATATTCACAGAAAAAAATTAAAAACATTTTCTCACAGCCTCTTAGCTCATATCAAGAAAGCAGGAGCACAGAGGCTAAACTACCTCCTCCCATTCAAAAAGTCCCATTAGCTAAGAAGGGTGCAAAGGGCTAACCTAACTTGAGAAGGTCTGCTTTTCTGTTTTCCTTCTTTTGGGTCTTAACAGAGGTCTTCTGGTTTCCTTTATGGTTAAATTCCTTTCATGGATACTGCAGTAGTGTTTAATTCTAAATGTATCCTCTACCACCAAACAGGAATATCACTTGATATCATACATGAACAATAATAGATAAGAATGGGGGACCATATGAACAACTACTATCAAAAATCAGATAACTCTTCAAACAGTTATATCACATTAAATAGCCAGACACATTAAAACACAGTAAAAGAGTGTGTCTTACTTTCCCATCCAAACTGCATAGCTTTCAGGGAGTTGTGGAACGAAGAGTATGGATCTTCCAGTATCAACATCAACTGCTCCAAAGCAGCCTGCTTCAGTTACTCCAAAAGTCCAGTGAAAGTACGATTCCTAGGAGCAGACGAAATATATTCTTAAAATAAGACCCTCATTTCACCAACTGGAAAAATACAGCGTGGCACATGCTAATTCCTACTTCCTGCATTTGAAAGAGATCCCATTTGCTTCTGGAAGGGAAGGAAGTGGGTTAGATTTAAAGCATTTCAATACAATTTGTTTTAGTAATGCAATTCTCTGTTGACAACTGGAAAGGATCTGAGATTAATAAACCACTCTAAACAGAAAACAGCACTTGACTCGGGACTGTAAATATATCATTAAATATTCCTCCAAACTACAATGAGGACAAGCAGTACCAGGAAGAAACAACCATGTTACATGAGAGAAGAAGGCATAACCAGAGTGCAGATGCATTGGGTTGTGATGGCTGTCCTGGAGCGAAGACTCGACTTCCTCTAGAGAAGAGGAAGCTGCAATGAAAATAGTCCTTGGCTAAATGGTTATTCAGCTTTAAGAATAAGTAAACAAGCAAAACACCTAACAGAACATGGAGATTAATTTTGATAAGGAGAAGATAAAAAAAAGACAAGAGTTGTGTACTCAGACATACACTCTGTTACTTTTAAAGGTGTATAAATCTCTTAAAACAGAGTACTGTGCACTAGTTTAGAAGATAGAATTTATTCTTTTTGTTTCTTCATAACACAGAACCATGCAGTTAAACTAACAAAGTGAAGCAGCACTACAGCATTCAAGAGCAGAGGCAATGCAAAACACAACCTTGCAGGAAGAGCCACAATTAGTTGTTATACCAACTTTGACAAAGACTACAAAAGCATTTAGTATGACATTAACAAGTTATTCAGTCTTATTTGCAGCATAACAACACACAGGTACTTATGGAAGAGTCCAGTTTAAGAACATACATTGTGGAAACTTCTAGTTTATAGTCTGTTATATGGAAAACAGTATTTACGAAGGCTTTGAATACAAGGTTCTGCAAATTAATTCAATCTCTAGCACTTAGGCGAACAGGAACATGCTGCACAACAGGTTATTTTTTGGTGACAGACAGGACTGAAAAAAAACAAGCACTCAGTTTCTATAGTTATGTTAAACACTACCAGAAACAGATTTAATCCGTTAAACCAGACTACGAACCCACATATTAAAGTACTGAAAGAAACTCCAAGCTGAAGAGGCAAAGTAAAAAGCAGCTAACTGATGTAAGTGAAACAAAGTAATGCAAATGTGCGCACACCTCTGAAATAAATAATAATAATAAAGAACTCAAGAATGATGCAAATCAAGGGCCAGTTTCCTAACTGATTCGAAATGTTGCCTTGTCTCCTACCTGACGAAACAAAACACTGGTGTCCGTACAGTATCTCTGCGTTTCCTCCCCACCCTGCAGCAGGACAAGGGAATTAGCCTGGACATCCTTGTTCTGTCGCAGGCGGTCACAGAGGCGCCTTCTGTTCAGGGCGAAGAGCGCTGCGGGCACCCTCAGCGTCTCGTTCCCCAGCCAAAAGGAGGGCCTAGGAAGGAAATTTTGATATTGACAATTAACAGAAGACAAAACAATGGTCAGCATGATTTAGAGGCACAGTGTTACTTTACCATAGCAGAGTAAAGGAAGTTGTTCAATTTAAATCGTACAAACAAGATGTTAACTGTTCCATTGGCATAGATGTTGTGTTAAGACAGGACTCTCTAGCCATGATGCATGGTGCTACAGAGAGGAAGAATAAAATGCACCTTTCTCGTGAGTACCAAAGAAAAAGAGCTGAATGTTAACTGTTCCATTGGCATAGATGTGTTAAGGCATGACTCTAGCCATGATGCATGGCACTACAGAGAGGAAGAATAAAATGCACTTTTCTTGTGAGTACCAAAGAAAAAGGGCTGGCACAGCTGACACAGCTGGCTGCAGCTATAGCCTATGGCGTGTCACAGGTGTCACACTCCTCCAGGTAAACCAGCGTGAAAGAGTATGCAGAAAATGACAACGGCTTTGGTCTACCGAGTAAAGCAGGAGAGAAGAAAATGAGTCCCTGAAAACCAAAGGGAAAGGTTACATCAAGCCTGGCAAAATTCCTTCAGCCAGTCCTGCAGGGAAACGCCGCGGGAGCTGGACGGCAGCGCGCACGTGTAAGCTGACAGCGTTCCCATGTTCCCGTGTTTCCTCCGCGCACACGCGTGCCTGCGCTCGCGCACCAGCGCCAGGAGCGCCGCGCTCCGGCCTGCTCCGGCAGCGCCTGCTCCGCCGGGAGCCCCGGCAGCCTCTGCTCAGCAGGGACTCAGCCGACAGAACCAAGCTTAAGGCACAGCTCTTTAAAATAAATAAATAAATAAAACCGGTTATTAAGTAATTCAACTGTCTTAAATACTACAAATATTGCAAAAACATACTGTTGGTTTGCTTGCCTTTTTACAGGTCCATACTTGCATTTTTTGCAGTTACCTATAGAAGCAGTGTAGCCTGTTATGGGCTTTTTTTTAAAAAAAACTTATCTGAGAAGAAAAGAATCCCCTACTTTATGTTTGTTACAGCAAAACAGTGATTTGGAGCTTCAATACTACAGCTGAATACTGCTTTATCAATAAAACCGTAAGATTTAAGTCCTGTTTGCCTAATCTGCCTCACCTTCTTCCAGCTTATTGAAGACTCTTCTGAAGAGCTAGATGGTCATTTCCTATTAAAGTAAATGGTGCAGTTAAATTGTTACTGTGCTAAAATGACAAGAAATGAACCACCTATGAATTTAACCTTAGAGAACCTGAGTGAGGCATTTTAATTATTACAGTTTTCACTGAAAAATGAAAGTAACCTTTGATTTATAGCTGCATAAAATAACCTCCTCAAAGACTTTATCAGCACCAGAAATGTAAACTCTACAATTTCTTACTGCAGACGCAGCACAAAAGAGCTAATAAAATGTTTTATTTTACTTGTTTATAACTACTTGATGTAACAGTGTAAGTCATTTCAGAAGGTGAAAGACTTCTCTTGCTAATCTAATTTAAAAACTATCTGTCGAGGAGTTCAGCTGATGATGCCCAAAACCCAAACGTGATTGTTTTTATTCCTTCCCCCCACACGTCTGATAACTCTGCCAACAAGGCAGGTGCTAATAACAAGGACAGCAGAAAACCTTTTGGGACATATTAGCTCAGCATGGAAGTCCAGCATAAGCTTTCATTTTGGGGTACCCTAATCCAGGCAACTTCTACTTATGTGGCTTAAATCAGATATCAAGCCCTAAAGAAGCAAGGGCAAGATTCTGCAGGGGGAAAACTGTGGATCAGCAACTCAGTATTGCACATAAGGTTGAAAAATCTGCCTGCCACCCAGGCAGGATCATCCCTGGAGTAACTCTGCAGAAAGGCTTGGAAATGATACACTTGGCCTGTTACCAGCATAAAGAGCAGAACCAGCTACACTTGTGCTATAGGTTGCTTTTGGATTCTTGTATATTACTAAAAAAGACTCTCAAATATACACATAAATACAGAGGCACAGGTTCTAGCAAAATTTGCCAGAAGTTGTGCTTTTTTTTTTCTTTTTGCTTGAAAGAAAAAAAAAAGAACCTTAAGTTGCAATTTTACCCTGTTCACAAGGGGATTTTGCAGTGGTTAAAAAAAAAAAAAACTCTGATCTCCCTTTTCCTCCAGGCCTATCCTCACATGCTGAAGCTGATATGAAGCTGCTGAAAAAGCAGGTTTTCATCTCCATTAAGTTTACTATGAATGCTTTTATTGGGCTCAAAACCTTTGGTTAACTGGAAACAGCCTCCCTAAACCACCCTAAAAGGGTCTTTTGCTATCATCCTAATACTTGAGCTGAAATGCCTTAGTTAAAGATGCAAAATGATTGATTTTCTGCATGTTTGAGCTGATCCCAACAGCGAAACTGTGTCTTCCTTGTACATAAGAGATCCTCCCCTTCTCGGATCTGGCACCACGGCTTTAAGCGTGAGCCGAACCTGTCCCTGTGCCATTGCAGGTTTCTCACCCGCGCGGCGCTGGTCTCTGCTCCAAGGCTGCCAGCAGTTAGATCCGCAGCGGGTGCCGGATCCCACAGCAGGATTTGCAGGACCAATGGGACTAGGTGTTTCTGCAGATCCTGCTCAGCCCCTCGGGTCCGCTGTCCAGCGCACGCGCGTGAATTCGTGCTTTGGGTCCTTATGTACCAACTAGGCAACACACCAACACACCCAGATTGAAGAAGTTCCGTCAAGAAAATCTGCCAGGTTCCAGGGAGGACCGGGCCTCGACCTTGCTCCCTCCTCAGTCTTTGCTCTGCCCTTCCCCTTGTCTCCTCTGCAAACCAGCTGCACCGCGCGGGGCCGCAGCGGGGCCGGCACCGCGCGCCGGTTCGCTCCGTGCGCACGGCCGCGCTCCACAGGAGCCGCTCCGCGCTCAGGCCACGCGGGAATTCGAGCAGGACAGCGGCTCTCTGGAGAGGAAAGGTTGGCTCCACACCTGGCTGCTGTTTCGGAGAAGCAGCTCTCACCATACGCAAGGTTGCAACAACCGTCTTTAAGTACAGAACTGACCATGCAGCCGCCGTGATGCCGCGCTGCTACCGACCAGGAACCCCGCCACAGCCGAGGAACTGCTACCCCCTTGGTCGGTCTCTCACACTCCTTCCTGCACCGCTGTTACCAGCACACAGGCCAAACAAGAGCTTTTCTATTTTATCATTATTTTGCTTCAAATATAGCTAAGACCATTAAACTACACTTGTTTCTTCAAAGGATCTTTTTCTTTTGTCTCAGAACTGTTGACTTTTCAACAGTTGATCTTATTTCAGAAGTTTTATATGTTTGCAGAGGTTACATTCTGTTATTTTATGATGCACCTCACTCTTTGCTTTTGTTTTGAGGCACCTACCAGAACGCGCTGGTAACCATGAATCCTATTTTACTTACGTTTGTCACGTTTTTCACTTAATCTTCTTGTTCCCCCACTTTTTCCCCTGTAAAATTCAGACTGCCACCTCCACCCTACACAGCCATTGGGACAGGACGCAGACAGCAGGGAAGCTCAGGAAGCACTGAGCTTTTTCCCAAGGAACCACCGTGTGTTTATGAAGCGGGGCTTCCCTGCCTGCGCGGAGCCGCAGCCCCAGCGCGGTCCCTGCTCAGCGCTTCACCCGCCCGGCCGCCCGCGAGCCAG